TTAGATTAGATCTTTGTTTTCAATTAAGGTGCTTTTTTTTTTTTTTTTTGGTTTTCTTTTTGTGCAGAAGAACTGGGGTATAGGCCAGAGGTGTGGCCTATGAGAGGATTCGCCAGAGACAGAGTGGGGAGTAGAACAGGTGTATCTACTGAAATACACTGAAAAGGGGAGCAGTGGGCAGGTGAGTCAGGAAAGATCTGCTGTGCCATATGTGTGTTAACTCCCTGGTGGGGGAACAAAATCAGGCCGTGGGGTTGATAGTGCTTAGACTCAATTCCTAGGATGCCAGGGAGGCCCTCTTTTAGATTAGATCTTGAAGGTAGGGTCTTTTTCCTTTGCTCTTCTGTTTAAAGTTGGTACATGTGTGGGGTGATGAAAAATGTGTAAAAGTAAATTTATATTCTTTACAGTATCCCTACTGAACTTAAAAAAATCAGTTTTTCATATACAAATTTAAAAGTATGTCTAGTGGTTATAAATTGGTGGAAGGAAACCTTCCCCAACATTTATAGAGTAGAGTTAGATTAAGCTCTTGACTTAAGAAGTCATGGATCCAGGTGCCTCTTGGTGGAGCATCTGTTGGTCCTCAGGTCCCTGGGGTTAACAGCTGTCAGCGTCACCTCTGGCCAGAGCCTCCTGAGGGGAATGGTTTAGGTCCCCCTGAGTTGCACACTGCCGTTTCATGTCTGAGGCTTCCATCATGTTCAGATCTGTGTTAAAGGCAATGCTTCTAATTCTAGTCTTTCCTGGTTCTTGACCCAAATTTGGCATCATTACTCCCCTTCCCCACTGGGAGTTCCCAGGAGCTCCTGCATGACCCAGTGACCCCAGAGTCCCACAAGACTTGTTTCCTTGAAATTTCTGTTGAGAAAAGTTTAAAGCCACATCTTTTTACTTAACAAACTTCCTTCTGGAAATGTACTCATCTGTATGGTGGTGTGGCATGATGAGTAGAGAGAACTTTCTCTTTGCAGAAGTAATGGACTGAAGATGAAAGTCACTTTTGTAGGATTTCAAAGTGGGCTTAATGACTGGAAAATCATATGACTAAGTGAAGAGGAAATGAAATTTCATGTACAGGATCATCTTAACTATGTACACACGCATGCATGCGTGCACATGCGCACACACACACACACATACATACACACACACTGCATTATCCCCATATTGTAAACACTTATTTCTTGGTAGCAGAACTGTGAATGATACTTTTATTCTTCCTTATGCATTTCTGGTTTTGTTTTGTTTTGTTGTGTTTGGGGAAAGGGGATTAGCTCTACTCAATTTCTCTTATTTTCTTTTTGTAACATGGAGTTGCATAATTTTCCTTAATTTTCTTTGATGGATATTTTGAAAATAACTATTGCTCTCAGAAGAAAAGCATTTCATTAAAATAAATACACCCATGGCAGAAATATATGCACCTGATGAGGTTAAGAGAAAAGCACTGGAATTATGTTTTTGGAAGCAGCTAACTCCCTTAATTCTCATAGCAATCTTATTAAAGCACATAACATCAAAGCAATGTGTTTTAATCCAGTAATTTTAATTTTTAGAACAAATATTCTTATTCCAAAAGTATATATAGCCATCATAAATAATTAAATGTAAATAATAAATACACATAAACAAGAAAGTGGAAAATAAATGTCACACATAATTCCATTACCTAAGAGAAAAAATAACATTCTCAATATGTGTGTTTCTCTATTTCTAATCTATTTTTCCTATGCCTATACATTGTATATATACACTGAAAATAAACCAAAACAAAAATGACGTCTGACATTTGACTTAAAGACCTACGGAAAAACATACCACCAAGGGTAAGCTGGTATTTTCTCCCCCCTCTCTGACTTAACACGTATTCCAGCAAATTTAGTTGTAGAACAGTCTGTTTATTTACCTCCAGCTCCCACTCCAAGCTTTCCAGAAGTGTTACTGGACATCTGGACATCTTGGACTGTATTTCGTTTCATGGAGTCTGTTGGAAGAAAATTTCATGAGGATATAATGTTCATTTTTTGTTCCCTAAGTGTTCCTCTAGCCTTTTTCCTTTTCAACTAGGCAGATTTTTGTAATCTGAGATTCTCACTTTCAGTCACTGTCCAGTGCACGTGTTCTCTGCTCCTGTAGGCTCTGGCATGGGGATCATGAGGTGCCAGGAAAAAGGGCCAAGGTTTCAAAGTTATTTTCCCTCGTGATACAAATGTTCGTAAATGCTCACATAATTCAAAGGTGTCCTTCTCATCATGGAATCTTCCTGGCTTCTCTGTTACTGTCACATATAAAAAAAAAAAAAAATCACCCAGATATTCAAACACTTCTTGACCACAATTTAGGGCCTCTCAAAAAATATCTTTCCTGACACCCCATTCACACATGATTTTCCTTGCCCAGTCTCCCTGGCTGTCTCTCATCACTTCCTGCCCGACTGTGAGTGAGCTCAGACTTCCCCAGGGGCTTCTAGAGGCAGTAAATTTTCTGTTACCTCTTAGAGAATTCACTTTGTCAGATAATTGGCCTTATCTATAAGTAGCCCCATGTTAACTCTTGAAAATAAAACAACAAAGCAAAACCAGAAAAGAGTAAGAAAGAAAAAGAATCACTCATGGTTCTGCTGCCAGGAAATAACTACAGCTTGCAGTTTGGGTGTACATGTTTTTGTGTACATTTTAACACAGTTAAGATTATCTTGCATATATAATTGTGCTCATGACACTTAACATGCCATAGCATTTCCTCAGTCATTAACATTATTCATAATCTTTTTCAATGACCAGAAAATAGTTTAGTTTATAGATTTGTTTAATGTTAGGAAACAATCTACATATTCATCTTCCTATATTTCCATAATCAGAAGTCTTGAACAGTCGTAGGGTATGCAGTGAATTCTCCACAAATGTTAGCTATTACTGGTTTCTAATGATAATTTGGATGCAATTGTCAGAACACTTGGAGAAGCAGGGGCTGTCCATGCTGCAGGGGAAGCTTGTTACCACATGCTCTGGTCAGAAAGTGTGGCTGTGTCCTTTGCCTGCTCATAGCTCAGAGGCTCCTTCAGGAAAATAATTTCAGTTTCTTCAGTGGTGCAGTGACCTTTCAAGCTGAGGTTCATCTGCTAAAAACTCAAAAGTTCAAAATCCTTGATAGGTTCTAGGTTTTCTTATTCTGAAAAAAATTGAGTTAAAAATTCTGAAAAAAGGCCTTTTGAATTTGCTACGTCTGTTGGTCACGTTAGCATCGAGAACTTTTGTGGTGTATGGTAATGATGACTCTGGACTGTAGTTTTCCTGGTGCACTCAGTGTGTCCCAAAGCACTTGTTGGCTTCCTGTCAAACAGAAAGCACCATTTTCATGCTAGGGAGAGATTCCATCTGTCACAGTCTGCGGGAAATGTGTGATAGAACAATTTTGAAAGGAATCACAGGGAGCAAGGACTGGGAAGTACAGGGTAGTGTGTGTAGGTAGGTGGGACAGTCAGGGAAGGATGTAGGACCAGAAAGGTGGGAGTTTTTACAATGTAAAGCAACAAGCTGAGTAAAATTGGAATCACAAGGAAAAAAGCAACCAAGAAAAGAAGGTGAAAGGAACCAAAACGGAGGGTGAATTCAAATATTGCTGCTGAGCTTCCAGAACATTTCCTACCCACTCACTTCTCTGATTCTCTTTCCCCAAATAATGCCTTTTATATGTTCCTTAAAGTATTTGTTCATTGAAACTAGCTCACATGCCAAAAATGATCTAATTTTTTAAGCCTATCAAATATTGACAAGGAAAGGTAATTTAGAACTAGGAATTAATTTATCAAATCCAAATACATGGGATTTACATGAAGTCATGTGAAACTGACATATGAAACAATATCATAATATAAAACAGCATTACTCTCCAAACACTGTAGAAACTAAAAGCAAGTGTTTGTCTTGAATCCTTCTGGTCCTATCATATCAATTGGCACATCTTTCCTTTGTCTTGACTGATAATATTTTCCTTAGAATTCAAAGTTATTACTTATATGAAATCCTCATATTCTTTCTAATGTTGACTGGAAATTGCTCATTTTATTATAGTTCTCACAGTCAAGCTAATTTTTCTACTGGAATGCCTCATGCCCTGGCTTTCCAAGCCTTCTTGAGAAAGATAAAATATCTTTACATGGAGAACAATTTTGTTAAACAAAAGAAATAATACTTGATTTTTAATAAAAATCTTTGGGGTGTCCAAAGTATAAAACTTTAGCTGGGTCTCATAAGTATACTTGAATTAATGATATTTTGAAATGATTAATTCATAGGAATTTCTTAAGTTTACTAAATGATAGGGTTTATAATTTATCATCCAATTTTAGATTTTGATATACAGATTAATATATAGGATCCCTGTATTTCTAAAGAACACAGAGAGACTATTAACCTTATCAGTACTTTTATTCCTAACAGTATTAAAAAACTATCTCTTTGGCAATTCTATTTATTGTCCTTAGCCAATACCTGAGTGTAAAAAATCATACTTTTCTATAAAACAATGAGTAACATTTAGAATATCATTTTTCCAAATCTTTTGAATTAGTTAGATACATAGTACTAATGTTTTGGTGTATTGTCACTTCACTGCCTTTTAATTATTTTGTTCTTGTTTATATGGATTATGAATTTAGGCCAATTCTACTTACAAAATTACCTTAATTTAATTTCTCTATCCATTACATTAAGGCCATAGACATATGTCAAGCTTCCAAAATAGAGATACTTTAAAAACTCCTAAGTGTTACAAATAAGTGCAACTCTTACCTGACCTATGAGTTTTGGCACAAACTTAAAACCACCAAGCTTTTTTTTTTTTTTTTTTTTTAAGTTGATTACCTTAATGCAATTCTGCTAAGGCCCTCCCTTCCCTGGCACGTGTCCCTTCCAGGTTTATTGCAGGGACCCCTGATTTCTCTTTGTACCTTTCCCTTGGTTTATGACCCTGTTTTGTCTCTCACTCATCTGCAGAGCCTGGCGTTTGCACGGTATTCGGAGATCCCCACTACAACACTTTTGACGGACGGACATTTAACTTTCAGGGGACGTGTCAGTACGTTTTGACAAAAGACTGCTCCTCCCCTGCCTCGCCCTTTCAGGTGCTGGTGAAGAACGATGCGCGCAGGACCCGCTCTTTCTCCTGGACCAAATCTGTGGACCTGGTGCTGGGCGCCAACACCATCAGCCTCCAGCAGCACCTGACAGTGCGCTGGAACGGCTCGCGCATCGCGCTGCCCTGCCAGGCGCCACAGTTCCACATCGACTTGGATGGCTACCTCTTGAAAGTGACGACCAAAGCAGGTGGGCTTCCAGAAGCGCGGGCCTTCTGAGTCCCTCTTGCTTTCCCCTCTACCTCACCAACCCACACAGCAGCAGCACCTGAGCTATCTGTGGCTTCATCACCTCCTGCTCTACAGAGAAGTATTTTCACTGCAGGTGTTGCCTCATCCCCACTCACCTGGGCTTTGAAGGGAGAGCTCCAAGCTAGCCCAAAATAGCTGGAGAAATTTACACACCATGGAGAATCGCAGGCGGACTCGAGTCACACCAGCCTTGCCAGTTGTGGACATCCATCTTCATTGTGATCTTCAAAAAACCTCTTTCCCCTGTTTTGCTGCTATTTTAGAGCAATGATGTCAGATTATAATTGTCAGTGGCTCTCCCAGATCAGCCAGTGATGTGCTATTTCACATCTGTGAGAGTGTTTCCTTGTTAGCATCTGTCCAAGAAGTGGGGAATCCTCAAAAAAAAACCACAGTGTGTGGGGGTCTTGAGATCCTGGGAGTGTGAGGAGTCCTGTCCGTTCTTGACCCTGAGGGAGGATGCTTGCTGATTGATGGCTAGGGCCATTGGCTCCTGCAAAAGGACACAGGATGTTTGCCCCCAAAATATTTCCCCCAGTGTGAAGCATAAGGAGCTGACCACTAAGGCCCTTTCTCAGCATCCCAGCTTACCTGAGACTTTATTTTTATTCATTGGGAAGATACATTCCCCATAACTGTGACCCAAACTATGGTCACAAGCAGGTTACTCCTAGGGGTTCAATGAGACTCAAATTCTTGTATGTGAGGTGATACCTAAGAGAGGCATCTTAGAAGCAAGACTCAGTTCTTTAATATCAGTCCTGAAGAATTTATCTTGTTATATCATGTATGATTACTCCCATGCTACCTTCAGTTAATATGTTGTTGGTCAGTTGGATATTGGACTGTATGGTCTCCTGGTATATGCTGTTTTCTTCAAATTAGGCATATGTTAAGGAAATTGGTATACTTCTTGATCTTTGCATTGATGTAAATTTAATAATGTAACAGTATCAATTGGGTCCCAGATCAGTTTCTTTAGATAAAATGGATCTAAAAGGGAAACACAGATAAAACAATTACTTTTGAGGAAATCTGGAGACTGCTCTTTGCATACCTGAGAATGCCAGCTTAGCCAAACAAAGGCAGGAAGCCAAAGTGAGGCCCAGGGAGCTTTTATTTAGGGTGTAACATGGTTTTAGTGTGAGAATGTTAAATATTAATGTATTTGAAATATTCTATAAGGGGGGAAAGATTCCCATGCTTCACAATGAAAGTGGCAGATGTGAAGAAATCTATTCATTCAACTTTGGAAAGAGAAATCCAGCTCAGAAAATTCAGACACTTGTTATTATAGCCAAATAACATGTCATTCTGTAGATGTGGGCTTCAGCTCATTCCTTTAAAGGAGGTGATGGTTTGTAGTACCCTGTAAAGTGTGCACAGGATGACCCATTATTGCACTAATTAGAAGCACCTTGTCTATCTGTTTGCAAGCCAGCTGAACACAATGGATTCTTCTGATATGGAAATTATTAGTCAACCACAACCCACTTCTCAAAGGGATTTGGATACTTGAAGATTTCTAACAGTCTAGGAGGTTTGAGGATTGTTCCATTCACAGCTGGCAATACCTTTTGGAATAAGTGTACTCTTTGTTAGGATTCCACACTGTATAAGTTTGCAGAGGGTAAGGCTGCAAAGAAAACAACAATAGATCATAAATATGATCATTAGATTAGTAAATTTAACTCTTACAGTCCTTGAATTCAATTTCACCATCTTTTATTTTTCCATCTCTCCTACGCAATGTAAGTAATTTATGTGGTGCCCTTAATACCCAGCTGAACTGTTTCCTGTAATATTCAAAACACAAGCTTTCTGCTTCCTTGGGAAGAACTTTTGCTTTGGGCACTAAATTTGCAGTGAGATTAGCTTTTGAACTGGAACACTTCCATTTCCAGACAATAGCATTTTCTACTCTGGTCTACCATTCTCAGTGTGTACTATCCCTTGGGAATGTTTTCTTTTTATCATCTATTGATTGTCTATTTAAAATATCACAGTATATCTTTTGATAGTTCTTCTTCCAAGAATTTTTCAAAATTTCATAAGCTCATACGATCCAAGGGTGCTTTCTTCAAAATAGCAGCTTAAAACAAGCCTGTGGCCAGAGGATGGGACATGGGAAGGGATGACGTTTTGCCTGTGTGGTGTATGGACTCGGTGCTGCATGATGGAATCACCTGACCAGGGAGCACAGGTGGCACTGCTGCTTGGAGAACTAGACTGTAGAGCTTACCTAATAATATCCAGGGCAGCACAGAGGGTCCAGAGCAAGGCTTAGGAGCTAGAGAAAGCACTATGCTTTCATGCCCCTGTCCCAATTCTCAACACTTAGAAAATAATTTAAAAATATTTCTGTCTTCCATTTGTTCACTTCATCAACTCTACCTGAATGTGTTATGTAAAATCCACCTGAAAGCATTAACATGTGAGAGCATGGCCGTTTACTGTACTTTCGGTAGAGCTGTAAACTTGATGACTGCGGAGAATATATCTTTTTTTCCCCCTTTAGTATAAAATCTGAACAGAAAAACCATTTTAAACATCACTATGACTTGCCTGAAGTTGTGCACCTCCTGTCCCTTTGAAGTGAACAAAAGCAAAAGCATTAAGAACACCCAAAAAATAAAACAAAGCAGAACAAACAAAAACAACCACAAAAGTCCGCCCCCCAACCCCCACAAAAACCCCAAACTAGTGGTCTGGAGCCAGGTCACACATCCAAGGGTGAAGAACAAGTTGGTAAAACATTCACTGGTGAGGAGGGAAAATTGGAAGGCCCTTCATACAGTGGAAGGAATGTGGCCGCTGCTCACATTCCCAGATGGGGCATGTGCTTCAGCTTTAGCCTCTGTCTCTGCCAGTTTTTTCTAGCCAATTTCCCATGCAGAGAATTGGAAACTCATCCCAGCTGCAGAAAGGACTAGCTCCTGCCCCAAAACACTTCCACGATGTTTTCATCTCATAAGATGCCTATTTAAAATATCTTTGAAAGAGCAATTTCTTCAGTTACAACATTAGTTTTTTTTTGCCTGTCACTACTATAATTTGCTTTGCATGGATTTTAGTTATGTAGAGGGTAAAATAAATCAGGCCCACACATCTGCATATACTACAGCAATAGACAAAGGCATATGTAGTTGAATAAGGCGTCTCTCCATAATACAAAACCCAGCACGGATCCAGGAAAATCCTCTTAATAATAACAAAGACAAAAGGACAAAGGAGAATGAATTAAAAATTATTCTTTTACTTTAGGGATCCGGTCTTATGAATTAGATGTCAAGAATTTTGAGAAAAGTTTACTAAAAAGCAGAGTGAGTGAGTCTGCTTCCTCCCAGGCATTCCCAAGCATGGGCTACCAGTCCAAAGAAGGAATGTCATGACTGGCTTACTCACTGTGAGTTGAATTTCCACCAACTTGGTTGCCCAAAATCTCAAATTTATTATATTGTTGTCAGTAATGCAACTGGAGCGCCTTTGGATGTAAATTCTCAACCCTTGTGGCACTTGGAAGAATAGTATTTGCCTGCTGTCTAGGAAAGAGATTTGTAGTTTGGAAAATTTTGCAACATGGAAAATCTTTGGAATTATGCTCTAAGAGTTAGAGAGTTGTATGGAATTGATTTTCTCCCCTCATTTCTCTTGCAGGGCAGCTGCCTGCCTACAGTCTTTGTGAGGTCAAGTTTCTTCTATACCTTAGAGAGTATATTACAAATCATATTCTAGTTTGCTTGTCTTTTCTCAAAATTGTTATTTCAGTGCCCTAACTAGCATGAAATTTGCAATTTCTTTCCCTTTGCAGTTTCAGTGTATTAATTTACAGGGTAATTCATTCATTTAGTGACTACATGCCATGTGCCAGATAATGTGTTAGATGAGGGAGTACAAAGAAGTAAAAATAATTTTATATGATAGCTGAGGTTGTGACAGTGGATACCATCTTCTCTAAGAAATGCAGTGTGGGGAATTCTAGCCCTGTGACATTTCTCTGATCACCCGGTCCCTTTGCGGTCTTCTCTTTGCCAGATTATTCCCAAGAAACATTGTTTTTATATCCTTCTTGCTTTTTTACCCAACTCTATTTAATTTCTTTCTAAATTCAGTTTCTTCTCGCTACCAAGAAATTGTCTGTTTTCCTTAGGCTAAGGATGTGCCCATTTATTTAATTTACCAAACAGTGATTTCCATGTAGGATTTTTTTGTTTACTTCTTGAGAAACCCAGTTTTAGATCACTAGTTTATTCTACCAATAGCTATACCTAAAACAGATCTGTAACTCCACACCTCCCCTTTCTGTTTTTATTGAAGTAATTGCACTGTAACATTATATAAGCTTCAGGAGTGCATCATTGAAAATGGACATGTGTATATGCTATACTGAGTTCACCACTGGAAGATATTTCTTGTGGCCGCTGTGTGGCCTACTCACAGGAATGCTCTCTGGCCAGCCTTTCTCCCTTTGGCCCAGGTCCAGATTTCAGGAATATTGACTTTAGCATCTTACTTCTAGGCATTTCTAACTGATCTAACATCAATCTGATGTTGACTTATGCCAATATTATATCCAGACAAGATCCACTCCTTTCCTCCTCTCTTCTCTCTCTCTTTTTTACCTTTCTTGTTATTACCTTGTGTCTCAGTTTGTGTCTCAATTTCTGAGCATCTTCTGGACATTTCCTCATTAGTCTAATCTTGATGCTTCAGGAACACAGACAAACCCGTTAAAAATTGCATTTTTTTTAATTGAGATAAAGTTGGCTTACAACACTTTATGTTTTAGTGGATATAGGTTTACACCTCATTGGATGTATGTTCCCACACAATACCCACCACTAGGATAATCCTCCATCATAGTTCACTGGGCCCCTTACCTCTTTGCACCCAGCTCTATCCTTCTGGTAGCCTGAGTTCTGCAGTCAGTTATTTAAGGTTTGTTTTGCTTTAGTTTTGTCTGTTCCTTTGCTTTGTTTCTTTTTATTGCAAATAAGAGTGAGATCATCCAGTATACATTTTTTTCACCTGACTTATTTTGCCCAGCATAATTACCTTTCGTTCCTACCATGTTGTTGAACATGGCAGGATTTTATCATTTTTGTTGTTTTTTAAGAGATGAGTAGTATTCCACTTTGTGTGTCTATATATAGCATGCATTCTTTATCCACTTGTCTGTCATTGGGAATTTACATTGTTTCCCTACTTTAGCTGTTGTGACTCGAGCGCAATGAACGTAAGATTGGTATTTTGTATTCTTTGGATAGATACCTAGGAGTCAACCACATGGTAGATCTATTTTTAATATTTTGAGAAACCTCCATACTGTTTTCCAAGGGTTGGGCTGGAAACCAACGGTGTAGGGAGGATTCCTGGGAGGTTCTTTAAACCTATTGGGTCTAATTCTTCATTTAAGACTGTGGTATTTTTGTTGATTTTCTGTCTGGTTAATCTGTCTTTTAATGTAAGTGGGGTGTTGAATTCTTTTTTTGTTTTATTTATGTGTATTTTACATCATTGTTCTTTTTTTTTTTTTTCAATGTTTGCTTTCTTTTCTCAGGCGTAGTCCCCATAGAATTTCCACCACCAATTTACCCGTGCTCCGTCACCATAGTCCCTTGTGCTCTTCCTGCCCTCATTTGATCCCTTTCCCTCCCCCTCCCATGTAGAATGTCTCCAATTTATAGTTGTCTGTTTATTATTGTTTTGTTTTGTTGTGTTTTTTATTGTTGTTATTTTTTTCCTTGAACCCTTGTGTGGGGTTCCTATATTCCTGCTATAAGTGAAACCATCCAATATTTTTCTTTTTCCTTCTGGCTTATTTCACTGAGCATAATTTCTTCTAGCTCTAATTCTTCTAAAACTGTTATGTTTCTGTCAATGTCTGCTTTCAGTTTTAATTGTTGATTTATTTATTTTTATGCTCTTTCATTTGGTGCATATATATTGATGAGTGTTGTGTTTTCCTAATGTATTGATCTCTTAGTCATGTCATGTTCATCCCTGTTTCTCATTACCTTTTATAGCTGGAAGTCTATCAGATATAAGTCTGGCAGTCCTTGCCTTTTCATAGGATACCATTTGAAAAGGCAAACTCTTTTAGAAGAAGAATCATGTTGTTCTTCTCAAATGCTTTGGACAGGCTAAGTGAAAGTAAACTTTATCAGAAAATCAAGAGAGTAAAATTAAAAAACACATGGAAGAGTTTATTTTTGTCTGTTAAAAAGTTTTTCTTCTGTGGGATGTCACAGAGAAACAGGAGATAGTGACAGTGAGTATGGAGAATTTCCAGTGCAGGAATGCACATTGACCTGTTGTAGACTTTCTCCTGATTTATCATGTCACAAAAGTAGTACTTAGTTCATCCATTCACCACAGGGCTCAGACAGTGTTAGTGTATTCTAAGGAGAACAATGAGAAAAGCTTCCAACTCACACTGCAGATGTAAAGAAAATCTGACTGAAAGAGTTTATCATTTCCTTTGGGTTGAATCTTAAAAGGATTTTCATGAAGATCTCATCTTTGTCTTATGGATAGTGTCTTCGCAGTATCTGGATGGGTATGAGAACATTCCTTCCATATCTTCTAGTCATGCAGAATTGTGCTGTGACAGCCTTGTTGTTCTGCATGAGGCATAGACATTCTACCATATAGTGGGGGTCTTGGCTAGAATGACTTCTGAAATCCTTTGGCCAGCATGTCTGGAGAACAATGTAAATTCTCTGAAATCCCGGCAATGTATTAGATGTTTTTTTTAAGAAAACCAAGAGGAGCTTATGTTCTCTACCTTCTGGAATGAAGAACATTTCTCTGGTGAAAATGACATCATTGTCTGGATGATTCTATCAGGCACAGGAGGAACTTTAGCCCAATGACCTGGTAGCTTCCAATGCCTCCTCAAATGTTGAAGCTTGTGATCAGCTCAGGGAAGGAAGTCCCAGTCTAAGGCAGTGAAAGTTACAAGGTTTCACAATAACTCAGCCCTAGAAAACACTGACTACACCAGTTGTCCGTGACTCACGAATGATTGTAAAATAATAAGGAAGCAAACACTTTCATTTCTATGAATAATGTCCTTTGAAGAGAATGTATTCAGAAGCACTATAACAAAAAATTAAGTCATTTTTTTTCTGCATTTAGTATAATCGTGGGGGGGTAGATAAAAGAAAAGTTATATTAAATAACTCATTTTTTGTTATCTTTCCATTTCCATATTGTAGTAATCATTGGATAAATGAAAACACAATTTAGAACAATACAATTGCTGTAGAAATGGACAAAAATCTAAAACATGTAACAACATGGTCAATGAGTAGTTACTCTATCAAACCAGGGCACATAAGATATCATTGTGCAAACTTACATGGTTTAAAAATTCTAAACCCCAACACATAAGTGATTATGTAATTTTGCACATAACATGTAGAGAATAAAGTGAGGGAGAGTTTGGACAGGGCCTTAATATTCCTTATTAGACCATAGTCATATGTACTGTGTAAGAATGTATACACTTGAGAATTGTTTGTGGATTCCAGAGTGGTTGATCCCCTTTTCCTTCTCTTTTCCTCTAGGTCTGGAAATATCTTGGGATGGAGACAGTTTTGTGGAAGTTATGGCTGCCCCGCATCTCAAGGGCAAGCTCTGTGGTCTTTGTGGCAACTATAATGGACATAAGCGTGATGACTTAATTGGTGGAGATGGAAACTTCAAGTTTGATGTAGATGACTTTGCTGAGTCCTGGAGAGTAGAATCCAATGAGTTCTGCAACAGACCCCAGCGAAAACCTGTGCCAGAACTGTGTCAAGGGACAGTGAAGGTAAAACTCCGAGCCCATCGAGAATGCCAGAAACTCAAATCCTGGGAGTTTCAGACCTGCCACTCAACTGTGGACTACACCACTTTCTACCGGTAAGTGGTGTTCTGGGGTATGGGTTTGGGTTACAAACCAAGAATTCATCAAGGAACAGAACATATCAAATTTCTTGGTGGACAAAACAAGGGTCTCCCTAAAGCACAAGATAATCACTCATCTTTCTGTTTGGCAACTGATTTTGAGTTAGTCCCATATTATGTTCCAAACGAGGGCATTACAGGTAATATTTCAGAGTGACCTATAAGGGATTCTGTTTATTGTATGTCTGTAGTTTTATTGGGAAGTTGATGCTACCCTAGGATTTTACCAGGTATATCTTGATGCTAAGATTGAAATGTGCTTCCCAAATTTTGTCCAAAACCACAGTGGCATAGGACAGAGGTGGCAATCTCAAATTTGGGTGTTTGAGTGAGCTCATTTATTTTAGGTCTGAACAAGAGTTCAGTTCCATCTCTTCCTCTAGTCCAAAAGAAATCTGCACATGGAAAGCATGGAAGTGAAGTGGGGATTTCCTTGGATCTTGATCAACTGTGAGACTCTGTGTCCAGAGTCAGGGGAGAGACTGAGATTTGGGGGAGGGGGGAGGTCTGGCATTAAGATTATGGATTCCATAATCATCGCTAACTTTGATGAACCCGCTTCCACATTAGCAACTGGCTACAAAGGAGGCCAGGCTTTGACTTCCGTGCTGCAGCTTGCATTTGCAAGTTGATGAGTTTGGCCTGGTTTTACTTCCATTTACTACACAATTCCATGGGTTCAATTGCTATGACTGTCTATAACTTTAACCACTGTGGGTGTGGGAGGAAACATGAGACGAACATAGTCCAAAAGGCCTTGTTTAAGTGATTTGCCTGTGCCTCTTAAAATGAGAAAGCTCCTGTGGTCTGAAGCCACAGAGAAGTTATTTTTACTCTTTAATTGCCAACAGTTTATTTCCCCTAGTTCTCATTAAATGTGATATTTTTTTATTTGATCTTTGGACATAAAAGATAAAGTTCTATAAAGGCAGCTCAAAATGGGATGGAAAAAGGACTGTCCTTGTCATCACAAATCCCTGAACATGGATACATTTGCCAAACCATTTGGCTCCAAATCATATTTAGCTCTTTTAAGCCATTTCCGTGTTATAATTTGAATTCTCTCAGTTTCCTTCTTTTCCTCCCTGTACCATTTTGCCCTCTTTGACCTGGCCCTTGTCTATTGACATTGAAGAATCTTAATATAAGACCTTTGAGTGAGTCAAGCAACTGAACAGACAAACCACTTTCATCAGGAATTTAAATGCTCATCCGTTGAAGGTCTGAGGGAAGCAGTAAAGTATAGAAATTAAGAACTCTGTGACCTTCCAGGGCTACAAATCCAGCCCAGCTGTACAACCTTGACAACCATCTCAGCATTTTAAACCTCAGCTTGCTTATTTGTGAAGTGTGTACAATAAAAGAAACTACCTTCAAGAGTTGTCCATCAGGGTCAGTGAGATTGTGGACCCAAATCCATGTGCTCATTCTGGTGCCCTCACATGGTCTGTGCTCTGTAATTGATGGCTGCTGCCATTTCTTCTACTATAGTCAATATAGGGTCTTCTTCAGAAGCTCCCTTAACACAGTTGCCGATAGGATTGGGCCTTTCTTTGTCTAAAATAGAATGGAAAGACTGCTTTTTCCGGCACCCCAGCAGCCTACACCTCTGCTTTTTATCCCATGTCAGAGGAATGTGTTAAAAACAAAAATTGGACAGCAGACTTGCGGAGATTAGGCCCATTTTTCAAATATCTTTTTCTTTTACTTTTCGTGATTTATTTTGTATTATGATCACTGGAATGCAAGCAGGAATATGATGAGTGGCTTGGCAGAAGTCGTGAGAAATGACTTTGACATGAATAGAGACTTGAAATTGTTAGGTGGCCAGGAAGATGCTCCCCTCCTTCACATGAAAATTGCTCCAGCAACTCCAGCAGCACAGTGAGATGACTTATTGTGCAAGGGGCTTGATGTACAGAGTTGGGTAACTTTGGAGACGCTTAAGATCTTGGTGTGCTGAGGTTTGGAGGGTAGGATGCCATGCGGCTGGGTCCAAGCCCTCTCTGTCCTGTATGGTTAGTGGAGTGTAGAGCATGCCTTCCACACCAGCCCCTCCTTCCTGGAAGGGGCAGAGATGCTCAGGAGGACAGACCCAGACAGTCCTACCAGAGATGCTCACCCTGCTGCTGATCTCAGCTCCAAGCAAGGGGTGCCTCTTGATGCATTTTCAAGCAGGGTGGCCAGTGTTGCCTAGATCCTGGGTTTCTTGCTTACTCCTGAGCATGTGTGTGGCAAGAGAAAGAAAATAAACAAAGTCAACATGGAGAGGCCATTCTGTTCTCTGGGTATCTTCAATGAAAACAAAACCTCAGGGCTTCTCAGGAGACTTTAGGAAGCAAGGGACAGAGAGTGTGCAGGATGATACCAGTCTGCACCTAATATCCACTCTGCCACTTTCTAGCTGAACGACCCTGTGTCTAGCTGAGCTCCAGCTTCTTCACCTCTAGAATGGGTATGACAGTAGCTGCCTAGAGGGACTGACTCCTCGAGGGCCTGAGGTCAGTGGGCAGTGCTGCTCTTACCTGTGGCAGCTGGCAAGTACTGGCCTTATGTGCTGTTGTCCCGTGTCCCTTTTTATCAACAGTCTTGCCCCAGCTCAGCCACTCATCTTCCTGCTGTAGATCTCTTCTCTGGCTCTCATCATGGAGAATGAAGTATATGGATTCTCATTGATGAAAACCTGGAACATTTTCAAAATGAGCTGTTTCCCTTTTGTGACACTGCATGAGATATTGTCAGTGAAGACTGCAATGCAATCCTTTAAAAAAATTGTTTTTGTATTATAAGAACCCTGTTCATTGTATGGCATTTAAAAAGATTAAAAAGAACAAAGAAGAAAATATCAATTATATAATATTCTACACATGTAAAATTTATCCTGTATATTTTATATCATTGGTGGAATTTTAAAATGAATTCTAACATAGTGAGGGCCATTGTTGTGACTTTTTTTAAAAAAAGATTTATTTATTTATGCATATAAGAGCTGGAGTACAGGCCAGAGATGTGGGGGGAGGTGAGAGGATCCACCAGAGACAGAGTGGGGAACAGAACAGGCAGACTGACTGAAACACACTGCTGAGGGAAGCAGCAGGCGAGTCAGGAGAGGTCCGCCATGCCATGTGGGTAGCTCCCTGGCTGGCTGGGGATCGGACTCGTGCTGCAGAGGTTGCGGATTGCTTCATAGTGTGGTGCTTCACCCTTTGCACCACTAGGGAGGCCCTGTTGTGACTTTTTTAAAAAAATTAGGACTAAGGAGATTTTCCTTGAAATCACTGCAGGTTATATGCTTAGCTTCATATACATAGCTTGCATGTGACCTTGATTTCTTTCACTTTTCTTTGATCCTCCAAATAAATATCCATATTTTCCTTAAAGGACAAAGAATCAAAAGTTCGTGTAACACACACATGCAGACTTCTAAGTGATCTAGGATCACTGCATGTATAACATAGAGACGGGAAAAAGCAGAGAAGATTTTTCTCTGAAAGAATGTTTTCTCTTTTGGGTTCCTTTAATCATATGACAATTTTCACAGGGCAAACTCTATTATAAAAATGAGATAGCCCTTCCTGTAATATCATAGTTATGCTTTTAATTTCCCTGAGTTAGAATTTTTTTTGATGTATTTAGGATTTATAATTCTTATTTTATTTTGGTCTTTTACCCAGTTCAGCATTTTTAAGAGTAAACTTCAATCTAAAAACTTGAAAATTTTATAAATGAATACAATTGACAACATATTCAGCAGGTCATTTTTTCCCCTTTTTTTCTTAGAGAAACTTTTTAAGTTTGCTCAGTTTTTCTTCACAAATCGGTTCTAACTGTTATGGCCTTGTTTGACATAAAAATGTAATGTTTGATGAGAATTTTTATGATTAGAATAATTTGCCTTAATTAATGAATCAAATATGTTTAGGTACAAAATAATTTAACTATGTATCTAATAAAATTTTAGCAGGCAGCTTTGATAACATGTCTTAAATCCTAGCGTTGCTAACTGACTTGTCTTTAAATGAGATAATCCCTGTTAATAATTTTTATCTTCTTCTTTACTATATATTATGGAGAAATTGCCAGTGGCTAGGTTCTATGGGAAAATTAATGTGTAACTATTTGGATTATATTTATTTTATATTTTAAAGATTGATTTATTTATGCATACAAGAGCTAGGGTATAGGCCAGAGGTGTGGGAGTGGAGTGAGAGGATTCACCAGAGACAGAGTGGGGAACAGAACAGGCAGATCTACTGAAATACACTGCTGAGGGGAGCAGCAGGCGAGAAGGAGAGGTCTGTTTAGCCATGTGGGTAGCTCCCTGTCCGGCTGGGGATTGAATTCGTGCTACAGTGGCTGTGGACAGCTTCACAGTGTGGTGCTTAACCCCTTGCGCCACCAGGGAGGCCCTGGATTATATTTAGATTCAAACATAGGCTCCCCTGAGGGAAAGTGTTGAGTGTATTTGTATCTGTTTTCTTATTTCTCATTTTCACCTACCTCACCTCCATTTGTGTCTTGAATGCCATTAAGAAATACAAGAGAAATAGGCCTCACCAGAAAGCCTCCAGAGTCTCAGTAGCCCATGTCACATCTGTTCCCCACTGCTGACCTGGGTAATATTGCCAAACAGAGCATCCCCGGGTATCCTGGGGGCACACTGGGTTGGTGAGAGGGGCTGGGCTATGTCTTTCACACTGGGGAAAGAGAAGACCTCAAATATCTCAGGCCTTGAAACACCAGCAATGGGCTCTTTCCCTAGCTCAGATCCAAATTTTGGATGAAATAGTGTTAGTGTAACCTGCCAGGAAAACAGGACTTTTAATTTAGGGCAGGCCCACATTTCAGATGTCGGAAAAATGAATGTGAATTGCAGCGAAGCCCAGACATTACAGACCACAATCATCTCAGGACTGTTTTCCTCTCTCCACTCTCCTTAATGGGGTATAATTCAC